CTATAGAAATTCTATCTGTTTAACTATTATGTATTTATGTGATACTTTGTAAAAGTTATTCGCTTTTCTATATATGACATTAACAAAAATAAAAAAAAAACAAAAAAAAAAACAACTTATAAAAAAAAATTCTATGGAAGTCAATCACTATGAAATATAGCTATGGGTCTTGCTAAGCATCGCTATTCAAGTTGCTTTTTCATTCTACTGATCAAAACCCATTAGTCTCAATACTCCCATCTCAGCTATACTATTTGCTTTTATATACAATTGTCTGATTCTAAATACCAGCTACTAATTGACTGAATTTGCTATATTGTCATTCTTTTTTGAATAACTGCAATATATCTCCTATGCAGTTCTGTATTATTAGCAAAATATTTAACTATTGCTAAAACAGCTATTACAGACAGCTTTTCTCTTGTTTTCAACAAAAACAACAACCCTTCTAATGGAGTATTGGGCCTTACTCTTAAATACAAGTTCAATAATTTCACTGAACACAGCTTACTTGGTGTTCTCTCTAACAAAATAAACTTTCCTTTCTAACTGATCTGTTTTGAACTTTGCAATTTTAAATCACAGTTTCTTATCTCTCTCTAATGTATCAGATTTTTTCAAATTATACAGCTCTACTAGTCTTTGCATTGACCTCAATTTTAAAGCTACTAAAGCCAAGTTCTGCATCTAATATTTTATATTAATCTTTGGCAGTAGACACTCTATATATTACCTAATTACAGAAACTAGCAACAAGTCTCTCGGCCAACTAGTTTTGTTTTTTTCACTTGTGCTACAACTCCTTCTATTATTAAACAAACTGAGTCACTCTTTATTGGGTTTTTAAGATTTCTAACTTTATGCTTTCTTGTCACTGCTGCTAAGCAAATTGACATCTCTGTTATTCTACTCGATACCTCAAGCCAAGCAAGAAAGGCTACTAGAAACTCTTTAGATACAGGATAAGGTGAGAAACTTATCCCAATTGCAAATTCTTCAAACATACCTTATACCTTTTCTATTTATTTTTTATATGCATTTTTAATTGAACTATAAATCAAATATTTAGCTCTTCCAAGCAACTCTTAAACTAATTTAGTAATACTGCTCTTATTTACAACTGATCATTTTTGCAATGCTCTAAATTTCTATAGGGCCCTAGTATTACAAAATGCCTTGCTAGAGAGAAATTAATCTTACTTTTGAGCAAGTTCATTATTAATAGTTACCATGAAGCCAAAACCCAAACCAATACTATAATAACTATCAATGTTTTATATTCTTTTGTATAGCAAAGTGCTATGTGAATTTTTTTAAATGAAGAGCACATATAATTTTTCACCTCTGCCCAATTCTGGATGAAGCAATCCACTATTTCTAACTCTGGCAAAAAATCAGCTATTGAACCTTAGAGTTTTCATATTCAAGTAGTCTGCAAATTTGTTTATTTCAATTTTCTCTATACTGACTCTAACTGGCTCACAATTACTGAACACAATACCCAATCTCTCAAATTAGTCACTTTTGTTAAAAAACCTGCTAGATTTAGCTTGAATAGTACCCACTGTGTATTAAAAATTGTCACATTGTATACAGTCGACTCTCTCTATACCAAACTGCATGTTCTGGGGGTTTTTGTTTGGTATAGAGTGAGTTCGCTTTATACAGTTTGCTTTCTATACCGAACCATTCAGTATAAGTAGCGAACCAATAAAATTATATATAGTCAACTCTGTATATTCCAACTGCATGTTCGGTACAGAGTAAGTTCATTATATAAATTCTCTCTTCATATACTGAACTGTTCAGTATATAAATCTAGCTAATAAAATCTCTCTCGAACTCAGAAAAATCTGTAAATTTACTTGAAATTTTGATTCACCATTGCTCGTCTTTTACATTCATTCATTTTCTTTCGGAATATTTCAGATCCTATTACTTCATAGATATATGTATCTGTGAAATTATACAATAATTCGTTACATAGAAATATGTATATATAGTCTTGGGCTAGTAAAGATGAGTTCAGATGCAATATATAAAAATTTACTATTTAAGTTCGGTATAGCCAGCCTAAATAATTATAAAAAAATCCATTTTGCCAAATCTGGTTCACTATAGCCTGATTTTGGTATAGCCAGGTTTGGTATATCCAGAGTCGACTGTATTGTATAAACTTTCAAAATCTGCCTCATAATATTCTTTTGTCACACCTCTAGGTATTCTTTTATTACAGTTTTCAGAGCTACCCTGTTGTCAATAAACAGGATTACTCAAGTTCTTCTTAGCAAGTTCTTGAATAATTGCAGTACTTTTAGCACTGCCAATGCTTTTAATCATGCAATAATCCTTGATATACAGTCATACCTTCTTATAATCACCTCCTATATAATCACAAACTCTATATAATCATATAATTTTATCAATTTTTTTAATAATAAAAATACCTCTATATAATCACAACTATAGTATTATCACTATCACATTTTTTTAAAAAGTTTTTTTACTAAATTATTAATAAAAATACCTCTTTAAAATCATCAATTAATAAAAATTTTTATTTAAAATTTACAGATCTCAAGAATTTAAATAAAAAAATTTTTATTAAATTTAACCAAGCAGTTATTGAGATATCCTTGATTAAAATTTTAGAAAAAATTTAAAACGTCTATCAAATAGAAGCTGCGTCAAAATTTTTAACAAAACTTTGATCAAGAATATCTTAGCAACTACCTGATCAAATTTAATGAAAATTTTTTATTTAAATTCTATAGTTCTTAAGAATTTAAATAAAAAAAAGTTTATTAAATTTGATTAAACGATTATTGAGATATCCTTGATCAAAGTTTTAGAAAAAATTTAAAATGTCTATCAAATAAACCAAATAGAAGCTGCGCCAAAATTTTTAACAAAACTTTGATCAAGAATATTTTAACAACCGCTTGATCAAATTTGATGAAATTTTTTTATTTAAATTATATAGATCTCAAGAATTTAAATAAAAAAATTTTTATTAAATTTGATCAAACAGTTGTTAAGATATCCTTGATCAAAGTTTTAGAA